TTATCAATTCCCAACTTGACTCTCACTGGGATTAAACATGACAATAGGTCTGATCTGATTTCATCATCATTTAAAAAATCATCTATCATTTTTCACTTTATGTTTCTGTGTGGGAGCAAACTGTTGAAATCTTTACTTAATGTATACTAAGCTGATCTTCTGTATATTAAGATAATCAAAAATGAATCTTGATGTGAATGGAAGGGGAGAGGGAGTGGGAAAGGGGAGGGTTGCGGGTGGGAGGGACGTTATGGGGGGGAAGCCATTGTAATCCATAAGCTGTACTTTGGAAATTTATGTTCATTAAATAAAAGTTAAAAAAAAGTGCTTTTGATAGTGTAGACATTTTGATGAAATTGATTCTTCCAATCCACAAATATGGTAGATCTTTCCTTTTTTTGTGTGCCTTCTTCTATTTCTTTCTTTAATGTTTTGTAATTTTCATTGACTTCCTTGGTTAAATTTTTTCCAAAGTATTTAATTTTTTGTATCTCTTGTGATGATATTGATCTTAGAAATTCTTTCTCAGCCATGGCATTGCCTGTGTATACAAAGGCTATTGATTTTTGTGTAAGTTTTATATCCTTCCACTTTATCCAACTCTTTTATGAGTTCTAAATGTCTCTTAGTGTAGCCTTTTGGTCCCCTATATATAAATCACATCATCTGCAAATAGGGGTAGTTTGACTCTTTCCTTTCCAATTGTTTATCCCTTTGATTTCTTTTTCTTGCCTAATGCTTCTGGCTAATACTTCCAGGAATAAATTGAATAGTAATGGTGAGAGAGCATCCTTTTCTTGTTCTGAATCTTAGTGGGAATGCTTCTAGCTTTTCCTCATTCAATAAATTGCTAGGTGTGGGTTTGTTTTTAAAATGCCTGGATTGTCTTCAGCCATGTTCCTTCTAAACCCATTTAGCTTAAGGTTTTCATTATGACAAGAAGTTGTATTTTATCAAATTCTTGCTCTACGTCTATTGAAATAATTTTGGTTTTTATTCTTCAGTTTGTTAATGTGCTATATACCACATTTATTTTGATTTGAGAATGTTGAACCATCCCTGCATACCAGGGATAAAACCCATTTGGTCCAGGTGAATGATCTTTCTGAAGTGTTGTTGGATTTGATTGGCTAGAATTTTGTTGAGGACTTTTGCATCTATGTTCATCAGGGATATTGGTCTATAGTTCTCCAACTCTGTTACATCTTTTTTTTTTGGGGGGGGGGTTTAGGAATTAAGATGATGTTGGCTTCATAGAAGGAGTTTGCAAGGACTCTCTCCCTTTCAATTGTTTTGAATAGCTTGAGAATAGGAATTAGTTCTTAAATATCTGGTAGAATTCAGCCATGAAGCCATCTGGTCCTGGTATTTCTTTGTTGTGAGGGTCTTTATTACTGATTCAAATTCTGTCTTGCTTATTGGTTTGTTTAGGTTTTCTTTGTCTTCATTACTCAATTTTGGTAGATTTTTTGTGTTCAGAAATCTATCCATTTCTTGTAGGTTTTCCAAGTTGTTGGCATACCATTCTTTGTAGAATTTCCTAATGATTTTTTAAAAATTTCCATGGTATCTGTTGTTAAATTTGGATTTTTCATCTCTGAGTTTATTGATTTGGGTCTTCTGCCTCTTCTTTTGTTAGTTGGGCCAATAGTATATCAATTTTATTTTTTGCAAAGAACCAGCTCTTTATTTCACTGAACTTTTGTATTGTTTTTTGATTTCAATTTTGTTTATTTCTTTATATTCTTGCTTTCTGGCCTAGCATATGGTCTATTTTAGAGAACATTCCACTCATTGATAGAAGAATGTGTATGCTGCAACTGTGGGATGAAAAATTCTGTAGATATCAGTTAGGTCTTTTTGGTCCATAGTGTCTATTTGCTCTGTTGTTTCTGCATTGCTTTTCTACCTAGTTGATCTGTCCCTTGCTGAAAGTGGGGTGTTGAAGTCTCCCATTACTATTGTATTGGAATCTATGTCTCTCTTATGTCCATTAGCATTTGTTTTAAATAACCAGGTGCCCTGGCATTGGGTGCATATACATTTATTATAGTCACATCTTCCTGTTGAATTGATCCCTTAATCTTTACATAATGCCATTCTTTGTCTCTTTAAAGAGTTTTTGTGTTAAAGTCTACTTTATCTGTATTAGGATGGGTACATATGCTTGTTTCTGCTTTCTGTTAGTATGGAATATCTTTTTCTATCCTTTCACTTTCATTCTGCATCTATCTTTGTTTTTGAGTTGTGTTTCTAGGAAGCAGTAAATAGATGGGTCTTGTTTTTTAATCTATCCAGCCCACAGGTATCTTTTATTTGGATAATTTGGGCCATTTACATTAAGGTTACTGTTGATAAGTAATGACTTGGCCCTGCTATTTTCCCATAAATATTTCTATTGTTTACTTTGGATTGCCTTTGTACTTTTAGTGAGAGATTTTCTGCCTTGTCATTCTTTCATAATGATGACTATCTTTCTGTGTTTCTGTGTACAGCAGGTCCTTAAGCATCTTTTTTAAGGCTGGACAAGTATAAATTCTTTCAATTTCTGATTGTTATGGAAAGACTTTATTTCACCTTCATTCATAGATGAGAGCTTTGACGGGTACAGTATTCTGGGTTGACAGTTTTTTCTCTTAAGACTTAGACTATGTTCAATATCTGTTAACCTGTGGGGGTTTCTGATAAATCAGCTGTGAGTCTATCTGGAGATCCTCTGAAAGTAATCTGGCATTTCTCTCATGTATAGTTTAGAATCTTTTCTTCTTGTTTTACTATTGAAAGTTTGACTCCAATGTGTTGTGGTGAAGATCTTTTCTGGTCATGTACATTAGGAGTTCTGTGTACCGCATGTAATTAGATTTCCCTTTTTCTAAATCGGGGAAATTTTCTGTGATTATTTCACTAAATAGGGTTTCTAATCCAATCTCTTTCCATACCTCCAGGAACTCCTAAGCCATGTATGTTGGGTAATTTGATAGTATCCCATAAATCTCCAACACTGTTTTTAATTTTTGCAATTGTTTTAATCTGACTGAAAAATTTCCAAAGGCTTGTCTTCTAGTTCTGATATTCTTTCTTTTATCTCACCAAAATCTGTTTTTAAGGCTTTCCACTGTATTTTTATTTGACATATTGAATTATCATTTCTAATATTTCATTTTTATTTCTCTTCAAAATATCAATTTAATGGGAGAATTTTTTTATTCATGTCATGTCAGGCATTTTATCAATTTCTTCATCTTCACATTCTAATAGGGAAGTGTTGTGATCTTTGGTGGGAGGGTCATGTGTCTTTCTTATTCTTGTTTGTTGAATTTCTGCATTTACTTTTAGACATTTGTAGAGATAGGTGTTGATTTTTCCTCCTGATGGATTTTTCCTTTGAACTATGCTTCTGTGGTTTAGTGGAGTGTCTTCTCTCTCACTGAATATCCAGATATGTTCACTGGGTGTGGCCAAGGAGCTCTGGTCACTACTCCATGGTGTGCCAAGTACCCAGGATGACACCCAAGTTGGGTGTGGTAGATCTTGTCTTAACAGAAATGAGGGTATGGTCACCTCTGTTGATGTAATCATACCCTCACCTTCCCTCTTCCAAGGCGATTGATTCCCAGGTGTTAGCCTTCAGTGAGGCAATACTCATTTGCAATTCCACATGAACTCTACAAAGATCTGGGAGTCCTCAGTGTGAGCATGGATCCTGCTGCAGTAACCCACCTCCGCCAGTCAGGGGACTCTGAGCGTGTGAAGTGGCTCACAGTGATTGTGCAGACACCTTGCTGCACCCGGCACCCTCTCATGCAGTCACAGAGTTCCCACAGTCTCAGCACACAGGGCTCCTGCAGTCACGGATGCAGAGGATGCACTCCACCTTGCTAGCCTGTCCTGCCCACAGAGAGACTCAGCTGATGTGGGTGCTCTGCCTAGGCAGTTTGAGCCCTGGAGCCTGTGATAATATTGAGAAGCTGGGGGCACCTCACAATCCTATGTGGATATCTAGCCTCCTGTCAATCATCCCAGCCAGACTCAGAGACAGTGGGGGATGCTGATTTTTCCCTCTGGTAAAATCCCTGAATCACACATGTGCACAATAGCCACTGGCCACAGCCCTACTCATTTCACAGTCACGCCTTCTCCCCACTGGTTGCTGGATGGGCATGTACAAGGATCTCTGCAGGCTGTACTGATGTCAGAATGGCTCCTTTACCCTGCTCATTGCTGGGTTCATGCACCTGAGCTGCTGCAGGTGCCTCTGCTAAGAAGATGGCGTCTTATCCCCTCCAGTTGCTGGCCACGCACACAAGAGCTGCTGCAGCTGCTACCTACTTATATCAAAATGGCGCCTGCCTTCTCTCAGCTGGTTGCTGGGTGCCATTGTTGGGGAATGGGGAAAGTAAAACATGACCTGTTTTTTTTTCTGCTGTGGTTAGTAGGCATCCTCTTCCCTTCAGGGCTCCAGGCCAGACTCAAAGATAGTGAAGTATGCTAAGCTTTCCCTCCGGCTGTATCACCAGTGGCCTGGGCTACTACAGGCTGATCTCACCTTGCACTCCGAAGCTGGCACTTTCTCTGGCTCTGGGCTGCTGGGGTTATGTATCCATATTAGATTTCTTGAAATTCCTTCCTTTTGGCAGAAAGAAAACTAAAGTCTATGTCTTATCACTGAAACTAAATGACAGTTATTTAGAGAATTTAATTAGGATTTGAGACTTGTCTTGTAAAATAAACAAAAGAACCTGCTAATTGAATAAATATTAAATTATTTTTCATTGCTATGAATTCATAAATAGTAACTCAGGCATGCATTAAAAAATATGTCATTCATGCTCCAACTAAGGAAAGATATTCTAGTGTTTACTGTATCATTGACACTCATTGCACATTGACCTTCCTTGCCAAGACATTCCTGCTAAAACTGGTAACATATATATACAGACATAAGAACATATACAGACTCTAAAATCCATCAGATTTTGCTAAAATCTCTTTTTTTCAAGGAGGTCTTATTGGTGTAAATAAACTGGACTCATTTTTGGAAGACATAGGATTGAACCTCACAGAGGAAGAAATTAAGGATCTAAGATGCAAACTGTCCACTGATGGTGAGCATTTAAAATACTTTAAGCTACTCATATAATTCTAGAATTTTGCATAAATGTAAATCAGTCAACCCATTAAATTGTTTATTTACCATAGGTCAGAGTTTAGAAAAAAAATAAAATAGTAATTCAGAGGGCAATGAATTCCTAATTTATATCTTTTTCATTTTATCAAGATGATGCAGTTTATTTTACTTGAATTCTAAACAGAGATTGGAGTTTCTTCAGGTCCACTACAGGTCAGGAAAAGTTGGAGGAAAGAAAACAAATTAGAGAAGAGAGTGAAAATACAATGACTTAGAGAAAAATATGTAGAAAAAAGTAACCATGAGAAAGAAAGAACGCTAAGGATGCTGAATGATTTGTGTCACCAATTGCCACTAAGATGATCATTTCCCTTGCAACTGGTTCCAGTTCTTCCAGGCATTTACCATTAAGGACAAAAAAAGAACAGAAATAATGACGTGCATTCATTTGCCATGAAGCCATAGCAGAATCTAATAGCTGTCAAAAGTCCAAAGACAATGAAAGAGTCAGACCAGTATATGTGACATGTTACCCTTACAAAGCTTCAGTATTCCTTTCTTCTGGCAAAGCTTTCTGATCCAAAGGCTGTGTTCCTGGGCTTCAATGATCTCTCCTGGGGTGGAGATACACTTAGTTATATGCATTCCATCACAGATGAACAAAAAATGTATATTAACCTGGGAAAATTCCTTGGTTAATAGTGCTTATCTAGAACATGATCATGTCACTCATATATCCTTTTGTTTCATTGTTGTGACACATAGGCTAGATCACATTTCTAGAATATATTTTTATGATTATCCATTTATTTTACATAGTCTTTATTATTTTGTGGTGATTATCTTTTTAATGTCTCTAAAATATATAAAATTATGCTTTATATAATATACATAGATAAATTATAAATCAGTAATAAGTAACTGTGCTTCCTAAGTATTAGAATATTATCAATAACTTACACCTTTATATGCTCATCTGCATTTCATTTTAATGTCCTTCCCTTGAAAAGCAAACAATATCTTGAATATTTTATTTATAGTCCTTTGTTTTTTTAAAAGAATTTTTAATCATATATGTTTCTAAGCAATATTTTAACATTTGTTTTATGAGTCTTATAAAATATTATCTTACATTATATTATAAATGTCTTGCATCTTGTTGTTTCCTCAGTGTTTCTAAGATCCATTTACATTGTTGCCTGCAGACACATTAATACTTTTCATGCTATACACTATTTTATTATGTTAGTATAAAGCAGTTTATTTATACCTCTTACCATCAATAGACATTTAGATTATTTCCAGTATTACACTGGCACAAACAGTACTGCCAAAAAATGATCTTGTACATGCAACTTGTCATCATGTCAAAGACTTCTTATGAAATTTGTTTATGTAAATATATATACTCTAGAATTGCAGGGTGAAAAATTAAGCCAATAATCAACTTCTACAAATTAAAACTGTAACATGAAATTGCAATTCATTTTTCTATCATCAGTGTTCAAGAGTTCTTGTTGATCTATACATCCTTTACAACATTTTGTATATGATCACACATGTGTTGCCAAGTCTAGCCAGTCTGAGTGTATGTTTGTCACTAGGTCACAAATAAATTAATTTTTAAAAATAATAAAAGTATAATATGTAAGATTTTACTTCTTGGGAAAGCTCCATGATTCAAATAATGGCTATATTCCTGGGCTTTGATGAAAATTTGACCTCATCAAAATTAAAAATTTTTATTCCTATATCAAGGAAAGCCCATGTGATATAATAAAAAGAAAAACTGAACAGTGAGAGAAAAATATTTGCAAACCACATATTCAACACAAGATGAATAGCCATGATACATAAGGATCCCTCAAAACTCTACAATATAAAGAACAAAAAAAGCCATTACAAAATAGGCAAAAGGGGTGAAGACATATTAGACCAAAGAAGGAAACATGAAAATATGTTCAACATTATTAACCTTTAGGGAAATGACAATCAATACCACAATGAGATATCACTACATGTCTATCAGAATGACTAAGATAGAAAATAATGACATCAAATACTGATGAGAATGCTAGAGAAATTACATCACTTATACTTCCTAGTGGGAATGTAAAATGATACAGCTACTCTGAAAAACCGTTTTGCAGTTTCTTAAAAGACAACATAACCATACAACCCACGAATTATATCACTGGACAAAGAACAGACTTTGGAGTGGACACCATATTGGAGTGCCTGGGTTCACATCCCAGACCCACTCCCAGTTTCAGATTTCTGCTAATGCACACCCTGGAGGGCAGCAGATGATGGCTCAAGTACTTGAGTCCCTGCCATTCACCTGGGAGGCCTGGGTTGAGTTCCTGACTCCTAGCTTCAACCTGGCTAAGCCATGGCTTTTGAGACATTTGAGGAATGGACAAGAGATGGGAGATTCATATTCATTCATATTTTTTCTGTCACCCTCTCTCTCTCTGTTTCTCTTCCCTCCTCCTCTGGCTCACTCTCCCTCTTTTCTTCCCTCCTCCCTCTTTCTGTTTCTGCCTTTCAAATAAATAAAATGAATAATGCTATTTTAAGAAGTAGACCGTATAAAACAATCTTATCCTTTGGCAGATATAGGTTGTATTCCTTACAGAACTAAATCACAGTGGCCATTGTTGAAATTGTCCTTTTTCATACATGGTTTCTTCTTTACACTGATTTATTCCTGCGAAGAAGGTAAAAGTAGATAAATTCTGTGGGATGTAAATTTTGGTGTATGTTTTCCACTGTTCATGTTACTTCTAAGTCTCACAGTTTATTTCTCTTGTTGCCTCTCCAAAGAAATACTGATTTATTTCATAAATAACAAATATGGATCAGAATTAGTTCTTTGAATTCTTTGAAAAGAGGGCAATCAATGCAAAAACCTACCTTTTGATATTTCAGTGCATGTTGAAAGATGTGTGACTAGCACACATCATTGTGCCTGTTTCTATACATGGGAATACTGAAGCACATTCTGGCCTACTTCTTTTTATTTCTTCTATTTTTCCTTTAGCAAATGGAGAAGTTGAGATGAGAAAGTTGTGGGATGAATTGAAAGCTTTTACAGGTGAGTGAAAGTTATTACAATATAAAGTTCCCTAAGCTTAGTATATGAGTATTTGTAAATAATAGTTTCCTGTGATTCTATCCCTTATTTGTTAATTTTGGCCTTAAACCTTTTCTGATAAAATATTTGCATCTAATATCCTTGAGTTTTCCTTTATATATAGTAATTAAATATCTCTAATTTCCTACTAACTTGTAAGCTTTCTGCAATTTTTCACTAGCAATGTCACTTTGGTATTATTTATAGACTCCCAATTCAGAACAGATTAAGTCAAAACAAAACTAGTTTTTTTATTTTCCATTTCTGGACTAAATCTTGTAATTCACACACAAAAAATGTTTTGAATATGCAGTACATTTGTGACATGTAAAAATGATTCTGATATTGTAATTAGAACTAATAGATATTCAAGTAAAATTTATTCTTCTCTACTTTAACTTGTTAAAGATGAGGCAAAATCACTTTTTTAAATAAATAAATTTGTTATATGATTCCTTATTGATTCTGTATAAATCTGTGTATCATACACTTGACCTTTCTCAAATCAAGAAGAAACATTTAGACATAAGTAAATTGTCAGTTGAAATAACTCATTATTCAAAAAAGTTGTTGAATGATAACATTCTCATTTTTCAAAGGACAAAGGATTGATGTGCAGCATCTACCAGATTTTATAAGCAACATGGGTATTCAGCTAACAGAAGAAGAACAAATGAAGCTGGTAAACATGCTCCCAGTTGATGGTGAGTCTTAAAGATGAGACTCTGTTGCCTTTCAGAGAGCTTAGTTAAGTGGGAGTTTCAGGGAACTCTTAAACATTTCTGTTAAGCATTTTTTAAAAATACTAAAACAATTAGAAAATGTACATTTTAAGTTATGTAGATGATATTTTGCTCTTTTTTTCATACGTCAGATCATCAGGACTCAGCACATCATTACAGTCATGTATCTAGCCAATGACAAACTTTTCACAATTAAAATGTGAGAAATTGATGGGCTGAGGAGATTTTAGAAGGGTTGAGTGGAAAAGGCCAAAAAAAAAAAAAAAACTACAATGGATTATCAGTATAGTAGAGCTCATTAACAATTGCCTTAGATGTTTAAAATTGAATAATTTTTCAAAATGAAATACTCTTTGTTTCTTCCCCTATATTTTAAATTGTATGTAAGGATATAGTTATTCATTGAATAAGAATTATTCCTGATATTCTAGAATATGTATAATATCTTCATAAATATACATGTATCATATTTTACTTGACATATATTATGCTTTGCATTGTAGCTGCTGGAAAAACCTATAAAAATAGATTATTAGATGCTGTGAAGTCCTTCAAAGGTGAGTAACAAGCAATGTGATAGCTAGTGCTTAAATTTATATGATTAGAGTTTAAACCAAGCCACCCTTCCATGAATTGATTTCAAATATAGCTTTTTTCATTTTATTTCCTGATAATAATGTCCTATATTTTGTCTTTGTAAAAGTCCATGTTCTCTTGTATTTATCAAAACTAAGCCTTTAAAGTATAATTTAAATTCATGGTAGATAGCCAAAGCATGAAGGTAATGCTGGGTAACCATTCTGAGATTGACTAAAGACAGCCAAATGTAATTATTGTTTGTTGTCAGATATATTGGTAATTGTTTTCCGATACAGCTAAATCCATTAATTAAGGTTCATTGTGAAAGTACAGTTAAGAAAAACTGTGGACAAAGTATATCTATAGCTTAGATGCTTTTTTTTAATGTTTGTTTTGGCTATTTCTCTTTCCACTCAGTCCAAAATAGAGTGCAGTATAGAGAGAATGAAGAAAAGAGTTAAAAGCCCTTTCACTTGATGCCTACTGAGAAGTCTCCTGCCACAGAAGGAATGTCTTCTTGTACTCCTAGGCCCTTTGGAAGAAGGCAATAGGATTATTTCTTAAATAATTTATGTATAAGCATGCCATGGTATTTCCAATTTTGTAACATCTGCTACATGTTTTTATCAACTAAATTTTGTTTCACCTTATAAATAATATAAATAGGACATTGGTAGCCAGAAATTTGGCTTGTTAGTCTCTCTGTGGTTCTGTTTTTCCATCTATCCCATGAGGGTATCTTATGCATCTTTTCTAGTTTCCAGGCCTGCTGTTTCATGATTTTTTTTAAGATTTATTTATTTATTTGAAAATCAGAGTTACACACAGAGAGAGAAGAGGCAGAGAGAGAGAGAGAGAGAGAGAGAGAGAGGTCTTCCATTTGCTAGTTCATTCCCCAATTGGCCATAACGGTCGGAGCTACGCCGATCCTAAGCCAGGAGCTAGGAGCTTCTTCCAGTCTCCCACCTGGGAGCAGGGCCCCAAAGATTTGGGCCATCTTCTGCTTTCCCAGGCCATAGCAGAGAGTTGGATGGGCCCCTGCAGCCCATCTCGAACCTGTGCGCCCATATGGGATGCCGGTGATTCAGGCCAGGGTGTTAAACCGCTCCGCCACAGCGCCGGCCCCTGTTTCACTGTTTTTAAAATCTATTTTTTCTCCATCCAGTCCCAGCTCCAACTTTTGATTTGAATTAGAGAGATTTTCTGTCTACTGGTTCACTTCCCAAATGGTGTAACAGTGGAGGTTGAGCCAGGCTGAAGCCAGGAGCCAAGAACTGAATCCAGGGCCCAAGTACTTTGGCTGTCTTCTACTGCTTTCCCAGGCATATTATCAGGGACCTGGATTGGAAATGAAACGGTCAGAACCTGAACCAGTACTTAAACTGGCTTAATGTTCACTAGGAAACGTCGCAACATGCTGGGCTTGCTCTTTATATCTAACAATTTACTTTCTTGGGAACTAACCAGGGTCCCATGAAACTATAAGAACTATGTAAATCTCTTCCAAAGATGATGCCCCAATTGACCTACCCACCTTCCAATAGGCTCCACCTCTTAAAGGTTCCATCACCCTCCAACACTGCCACACTAGGGCCTAAATATCCAGTATGTGCACCTTTAGTGGACACACTCAAACCATATCCAAACCATAGCACTGGATATAGTTTCACCAAGACAAAATTTAAAATTCTTTAATACAGTGTTAACCTCAAGTTAGCTGTGTGTGTTTAAAAGCAGTTACAGTACTGAGGATTCCATTTTCCTTTACTCTGATTTATTTGAATAGTAAATCATTTAACATAATATTAATGTATTTCTAATATTTAATATATTTCTCATATTTTAATAAAATTCTCAATCTCTGTATCTTTTTTCTAAGGAGGGAAAGTTGAAAGAAGCAAAATGGATGCTGTTCTAGAAAACATGGGAATCAAGCTCACAGAAAAAGAGCTTGAATGTCTGGCGGATAACATTCCAATTAATGGTGAGCATGTAGTTGTCACTATGCCTTTCAAAAATGTCTTTCTTTTTTATCAAAGAAGTCTTGCTTGTATACTTGCATGTGAATATTTACTAAATAAGGATTATTTGGTAGTAACAGGAAATATTAAGTAGTTTCGAGTTGAATTCAGTCTAAAGAAATACTGATTCAATTTTAAAACCTAAACAATCTGTTTCTTATTAATATTAACTATTACTTATAGAGACCCAGTACATTTTTCTAAGGATATTCAGAAAGAAAAATAAAAATTATATGACTTGCCTTTAAATGTGACCATGTCTTCACTGAGTCTTCATTTCTGAACTAATCTAGGCTGGAGCCATTTACTCTTTTGAGGGTAGTACAATATTTGCGGTTCCAATTTCTGTGTTAATTAGGTAGGGTTATTTATTCTGCAGTAACAAATGACCCATAAATGTTGATTTCCCAAGACAACAAAATGTTTTCTTTTATCTCTGAGTTAAATATTGGTTTACAGGTTGGCTGTGCCTTTGCTTTTTGTTTTCTCCACTTTGAGACAGGCTGAAGGAACAGTCCCTGCTTAGGTCATGCTCCTTTTATTGCAGAAAGAAATTAAATATGGTAGAACCAGGTAGTAGTTTTTAAAGTTTTGGCTGAGAAGAAAAATGGGTGTTTATTGGTCTAAACAATTTACTTGATGTTATTGGCAACAGAAGTAAAATCCTACCATAAGGGTAATAAATATTTTAAGAGGTAGAAAATATTTTGAAAAAAAAAAATACCATGCATCCCCTGGAAACATATTATGTATAATAATGTATGTATCTGAAAGTATGCCAAAACCAGTCTGTATTCATTTTATCACATTTTAAAATGGATTTCATAATTATTGAACATCTATTCAATGAAATACATGCAATCTTCAAAGGAACCATTAGCTCTATAATTACACACACACACACACTATAGACACATCCTATCTCTAATGAAATATACATGAAAAGTGGCAGCAGTGGTTGCCTACAGGAAAGGGGATTATTTGATTAGAGATAGTTTTGTAAAGCAGAAATATTTTCCACTGTATATACATTGGTGTCATTTGTGTATAATGTAAATTATGCTTTTGTTACCTAATTAAAAGTAAAATAATTTTTAAAAATATTACACTAAAAGCACAAACATATTATTAATATATAATAAACATAATTAATATATTTAATATATTAATAATTTAATATATAATAAACAAAAATATAATAAACATATTATTAATATATCATAAAATGAAAAAATGTGCTCTGTGAAACTCATAGAAGAAAATTTTTTAAAAATAAACTACAATCTGAGAGAAAATATTTGCAAGCAACATATTCACTCCATCCCAACTTTACACAGAATTTGTATTTGGAATATATAAATAATTCTGCAAAACAGATGAGACAAAGAAAACAGTTCCTTAAGGAAACAGGCAGAATATATAAAGAAACATTTCACTAAAGAGAGCATATAGATGGTAAGTAAGCATGTGAAAAAATGGTCAATATATTAGTAATTAGGGAAAAACAGATCAAAACTACAATGAGATATCACTACAAATGTATCAAAATGGCTATAATGAAAAATAGTTGACAATACCCAATGCTAATAAGGATGATAAAGAAACCAGATCACTTACTTGTACCAGAGCTTGCTGGTGGTAATGTAAAATGAAACAGCCACTTGGGAGAGAACCTTTTGGTAGTTTAATTAAAAGCTAGACATATAATTACTATGAAATCCAGGGATTATACCTTTGGATTTTTGCCACAGGGGAAATGAAAACATATGTTCTCATAAAAACATTGTATGCAAATATACATAGCCACTTGTAAGAGTCAAAAACTGGAATCAGCATAGATGTCCTTCAACATGGATAACAAACTGTAATAGTATTAATACATAATCATAGAATATTAATAAATAACAATAACTGAATTATCGATGCACTCAAAAACTTGAATGAACCTCCATAGAATTATGATGAAGTCCCAAAAGCCAATTTCAAAAGTGCTGTGGTGTTAGAATGTTACATATCTTGACGATGGCAGTTAATACATAAGCTTCAGACCATAACAAATAATATACAGGTAGGTGACATGCTGTATAGAACTTTATACATACACAGACATTTAAATGAGTCCAAGTAAAACTGGGAATCCTAAGTAAGATTGGAGTGTATCTTTGTGACAGTATACTATAGAAATATGAGATCTTAAAATTAGTGGAAATCAGGGAAAATATATAAACCATCTCTATTATTCTTTCAACTTCACGTTAATTTGTAATTATTTTAATAAAAATTTTAAAATAATAAGTTGAAAATAACTTTCCCTAAGCCAATTTAAAAATATATATATTTATTTCATCTGAAAGAGTTACACAGAGAGAGAAGGAGAGGCAGAGAGAGAGGTTTTCCATCTGCTGGTTCACTCCCCAACTGGCTGCAATGGACGGAGCTTTGCCAATCCAAAGCAAGGAGCCAGGAGCTTCTTCCAAGTCTCCCACGTGGGTGAAGGGGCCCAAGGACTTGGGCCATCTTCCCCTGCTTTCTCAGGCCATAGCAGAGAGCTGGATCAGAAGTGGAGAAACTGGGACTTGAACCAGCGCCCATATGGGATGCTGGCACTGCAGATAGCAGCATTACCTGCTACACCACAGCACTGGCCTTTAGCTAATGTAGAATTAATGTCTAACATCTAGGATTTATATTCTTATAGCTGAGTCAGATAAACAGGTGCTAATGGACTTCAGTTGGTCTTTTACTTGCCAATTTAACTTCTTTTTCCTTACTTTGTTTCCATATGTAAGTCTTTGGAATTATTATCTTATTTTGCATTTCTTGTAGTTGATGGGAAGATTGAACTCAATAAATTGGTAGATGCAGTGACCACTGTTACAGGTTAGTGAATATTTAAAGTGACTCCAAGATCCTAATTCTTACACTGAATTCTACAATGACAATTTATTCTGTCACTTTATTGCCTTTTCATTCTTCCATTTTGTCATTTTGCTGAGGAAATTCAAGTTTTTATGGACCTTAGGCTAAACCATTACCAGGTTATGCAAATTAAGTTTTATGGGAAAATAATCACATTCATTAATTTATATGTTATTATTTCTTTAACCTATAGTAATGGCAGAGCTGAGTAGTTGGTACTGAAATTATCTTGCCAATAAGGTTTAAAATATTTCCTATACAGATTTTTAAAGAAAGATTTTGCTGACTCTGGTCAAGACATTATCTATAGAGGGGGTGACTATATAGTGTATTTATCTCAGTTAAGACTATCCTTGTTGTAGAATCATTTAAATTAGTTGTAACACTCTCTTTTAGTAGTCTGATAGAAATGTGTGAATATTATAACCTTAAATTATCTGCATTTAATATATCTAAGTGCAGTGTTTCAATAGAAAATTCTTTATTCCTTGAGTTATATTCCAAATCATACTTTAATGTGCATGAATTCAAATAAGCCATAATCTGGGTATCATAAATGTAAATTACCTTTCTGCAATTTTGAGAACACTACTGTAAGCCCAGAAGTCAGAAAACAGAAAGGCTCACACACCCACTTAAAAAGTTCAAATCACTTAGTTGATTAAATCATTTAAAACAGAACAAAAGCAAAGGAGAAAAGATGGAATAAAGTAAAAATTTGAGGATAGGGTGCAAGTTTGCGGAAGGACTGCATGACCTGAACCTTCAAAGCTGAATGTTCATATAATTTTTTGTCCCTCTCTGATGCGTCATTCTTCTCTGATAGTGATGTGGTTACAGGACCAGAGTTGAGGTTCAAGCAAGTTTGCCTACAGATGTAAGATATTCCAGCCAATGACACAAACTTGCTCTTTCAGATAAACACAGAGACAGTACGCCTGCAAATAGTCATAGATTGCTGCTGACAAGACCTGTTTTGTATTTCTTGGGCAGAGGACACATGAGGCTAAAATGGTTTTTACTAAGAAAATGAACAAAATTAAAGTCATTTGAATTATGAAGCTTATCAATATTTATCAAATCTTGAGTATTTAGTGCTCAAGAACATTTGGTGTATCATAATTACTTAGAATATGTTCTATATTTAAACATGAGCATTTAGTGAACAAATGTCTGTGTGTATTTAATGCCTCATGAGTACTAGGTATAGCTTGGTCCTTCCTTCCCTTTCTTTCTATTACATATGTGTAAGATATACTTAAACCAATTATCTGGAAGAATTAGTATTGTTAAAATGTTTGTATGACCCAAAGTGATTACAGATTTAATGCAATTCCCATCAAAGTGTCAATCACATTCTTCACAGAACTAGAGAAAACAATCCTAAAATTCATATGAAAGCACAAAAGACCCCAAATAGCTGACAATTTTGAGAAGAAAAATTGCTAGAGACATGACAATATTAGAGTTTGAGACATCTATACAGCTGTAATACCAAAACAGCATTGTACTGTCATAAAAATAGATGGATAGATCTATACTTTTGAATAAGAATGTTAGGTTTTAGGATTTTAGGGTTCAAAGAAGGCGGGAAGGTGGCTAGTATAAAGTAGCAAAGGCTTTATCTTAGGGGAGACAAAATGGGGCAGAGGAGGGCAAAGAGAGTGGGACTGAGCTTGCCTGGACAGAGGGCAGGGGGTTTGAAGCCAGGTTTCATTCCATTTGATCAACAGAGTCCCTTCTCTTTTTTTTTATTTTTTTATTATTTATTTATTTATTTTGGTAGGCAGAGTGGACAGTGAGAGAGAGAGAGACAGAGAGAAAGGTCTTCCTTTGCTGTTGGTTCACCCTCCAATGGCCGCTGTGGCCGGCGCGCTGCGGCCGGTGCATCGCGCTGATCCGATGGCAGGAGCCAGGAGCCAGGTACTTAACCTGGTCTCCCACGGGGTGCAGGGCCCAAGCACTTGGGCCATCCTCCACTGCACTCCCTGGCCACAGCAGAGAGCTGGCCTGGAAGAGGGGCAACCGGGACAGAATCCGGCGCCCCGACCGGGACTAGAACCCGGTGTGCCAGCGCCGCAAGGCGGAGGATTAGCCTAGTGAGCCGCGGTGCCGGCCAGAGTCCCTTCTTAATCTGCTTGTTGGGGCAGGTGCAGAGCACCACATGGACTCTGATAAGATGGGTAGGAGATGTACGGAAAGTCTCCTTGGTGAAGTTTACTGTGCACTGTCTTAGCAGTTTGGAATGTCCCCAGGTGTAGGGCTTTCTGGAGCAATAAACATTCCACTAGCGTTTACATGATCTACCTCTACCCGGTTCCATCAGGCCTAGGGATTCAGGCCCATCAACCTAACAGTTTCTATCAGGCCTCAGTGGCCTAATAAGTTCCAACAAGAAATCCTAGAAATTAATCCATGCACCTACAGTCAGCTAAATCTTGACAAAATATACACTGGAAGAAGTTTTTTCAATAAATGATGCTGGATAAACTGGATATCCATGTACAGCTTATTGAAACTAAAACTCTACATCTCACACCAAAAGCAAACAGAACAAAACAGAAAAAGAGAACTCAGAGTGCATCTGACACATAAGCACCTAAAATGACGAAACTAGTAGAAGGAAACATGGGGGAAACATTTCACGACACTGATATAGACAAAGATTTTCTGAGTAAGACTGCAAAAGCACAGGCCACAAAAGCAAAACTAGACAAATGAGATTATAGCAAACAAAGAAGCTTCTACACAACAAAGGAACCAACCAACTCAGTGAAGAGAGGAGAGAACTTTTGCTATCTATTAATCTGACAAAGGATTAATATCTAGAATATATGAAGAAGTCAAAAACTCAACAACAGAAAAATAAAGTCTATTTTTTTTTGAAAAAAAAAAAAAAAAAAGGTCAAATGGAGGCAGGTATTTGATGCAGCAGTTAAGATGCCACTTGGAACACCTAAAAGCCATATCAGAGTACCTGGTTCAAGTCCCAGCTCCTCCACTTCTGATCTAGTTTACTGCTAATGCATACCCTGAGAAGCCTCTGGTGTTGGCTCAAATATTTGGGTCCCTGATATCTACATTTTTTCATGGATTGAGTTCTGAGCTCCTGACATCAGCCTGGCCCAGCCCCAGCTGTTGTAGGCATTTGGGGGGGGTGAACCAACAGATAGAAAATTGTCTATTTTCTATGCCTCTTGTGAGTATAAACAGTCTTCTTGCCTTTCAAATTTAAAAAATAGATGAATGGTATGAATTTTATTAAAGAAGAAACTCAAATAGCCAACATGTTTATGGAAAATGTTCCAAATTCATTAGCTACTAGGAAAATGCAAATGAAAACAACAAGATATTATATCACTCCAGTTAAAATAGATTTTACCAAAGAGACAAAAAATAAATGCTGAAAAGAATGTGGAGGAAAAGGAACTTTAATACAACTGTTGGTGAAAATATGAATCACTATGACTATTATCAGAACAACTTGGAGGTTCCTTTAAAAACTAGAAGTATAGACCTACCGTATGATCAGTTCTCTCTCCTGAGTCTTGTGGGCTGGGTGGTCCATGGCTAGGCTTATTGCAGGTTCTTCCCTCCATGCATGAAATGATTCAAAAGTGGAAGCATAAGGATATATAGGAAAGCAGGATTTATTTGGAGCAAAACAAAAGTTCAAGCTCAAGAACCAAGTTATGCATGAGCAAACAGCCAAAAAAGCAAAAGACCCTAAAGAAAGAAAAGCCCTTCTGCAAGGAAAAATTTCTAAGGTGAAAAAGATTTCTACAGAAGAAAAAGCCCATCAACAAGATTTGGCATACTGTTTATACTCACAAGAGGCATAGAGAGCAATATCCAGGGTGGGACCCAATTGTATGTTCAAAAGAAAGCAGGGTTATTAATGGATTTGAGCACCACTCATTGCTGTGTTTATTTTAGGAGATATTGGAACTGTCATGGCATCAGGTTCATGATGGGAGTGGTTGTGAATTCCTTGGTAAACTTTATTGTAATGATATTATAATGACCAAAAACCATGGGGGACTCATCCTGCAACCATGTTGGATATTTCCATCTAGCACTGACTGCAAGTTTATAACATTGTGGAACTTGCAATTATGTTACTGGGGAAGGGCTGGGGACTTCCTGGTACATGAGAGGTGGTCTGAGATCACAGCAGGGGAGGCCTGGGCTGTGCTCAAGAAGGGAAAGGAGTCTGGGTGGCACACAGAAAGGGACCAGTCATGTTAGCTAGGCCAGTCCATCACATAGGCCAGCTGAAGCTGTCCTGTGTCAGCTTAGCCATGGCTGGTAAAAAACAAATTTCTGGAGCTGTTAATCAAGGACCTGCATGGGTGGGTGAGGAGCTGTCAGTGGTGGTTTGGTTAGGCCTGTCAGTTAGGAACTGCACCATCACGAGGTTCAGCTTGTGCTGTCAGACCTCAGCTCGGCTAGAGCTGTCAATCATTCAGCAAGGCATTCTTCCCCTAACTACCTACATTCCCACAGCATGGGTATATATATCCAAACAAAATGACATCAATATGTCCAAGAGATACCTGCATTCCCATGTTTATTGCTGTACTTTTCACAATAACTAAGATATGACATCAACCTAGATTCCCAATGGTTAATGAATGGATGAGTATGTGTCATATATATACAGTGTAATATTATTCAGCCACAATAATGAAATTCTGACATTTGCAGCATGATGGATAGAACTGGTAATCTCAAGTGAATTAAGCCAGAAACTGAAAGATAAATACTACATGTATTTTCTCATATATGAAAACTGAAAGAAATTTACCTGAATTTAGAATGGTGATTACTAAGAGTTGTGAAGGGTAGGCGTGTGGGGGAATAGAGAGAAAACCTTGTTAGGAAGAAGGAATAACTTCTGGTATTCTGCAGCATAGTAAAATGACCATAGTGCAAAATAATCTATTATATATTTTATGAAAACAGAAGAGAGAGGATCAAAAGTTAAAAGCATAGAGTGATGACAGGGAGAGGGAAACATTGATTGCTTCTATTTGATCTGTATATTTTTTGAAATATTGTGCTGTCCCCCATAGATATATGCAATTATTGAATGTTCATATAAACTGTTTTTTATTAAATTTTAAAGAAACTCTATTCATCCTACACATATTTTAAAAGTTTAACCTATGTTTTATAAAGTATAAACTTGAACTTATGTACTTACTTAACTTCTTAATAGATTTAAATATTCTCCATAGTAAACACACACTACTGAATTAACATATTAAGCAATCAAGTAAAACGAAGGATACCACAGAATAACAGAGATATTGGATTGGGATCAGCTTCTTTGATATGTTAGAAAAACTTAGATTACCCCCCAACACTTATTTCTAGTTACTTTACCCAGTAATTATTGATGCTGTGTTTTGGAGGGTAAAGAAAACAATTGTTTCCATGAGGACTGTTGAAACAGAGGTCTCATCCTACTTTGATCAAATAACTATTGAAGCTGCAGTTGAATAGACAAATGATTTTTCTATTCCATACTTTGGAGATGTTCGGTCATATTCAATTCCTTATCTGCATATATTTCTTTTTTGTTGTTGAAGGAGAAGAAGTTGATGCCAGTGATATAAAAAATACTCTGGGAAACATGGGGATAGAGCTCACAGATAAAGAATGTTTGGAGCTAGAGAAGAATCTATCAGTTGATGGTAAGCATTTAAGTCTTTAGGAACTTAGAGGGCTTTTTGTTTTTAAAGAACTTCCATCACTATCTATATTTGATATCTAAAAACGACAGCTTTAGGAGGGGTCATGTAGTTCCACCTTAAGACGTAATCCCAATTGTGTTATTTCATTCATAGAATCTTCTACCTCTTCAGTCATTTTTATTAGAAAAAGGAAGCCAAAAGGCACCTTCAAGACTGTGCAGGGATATATGGAGAAGTAAAATGGTGGGAAGGTACCAGAAAGAAAAAATGGAGAAATTAAGGGGAGGACAAGGGAACTTCCAGTCTGGTATATATTCCAGCATAAAAGTGCTGCAGTTCCCTCAGATGCCGGGGAGCCACATGCACAACTCCCTGAACTTCATATTGGTTTTTATTGCTGTTTTGGTTGTTTTTCAAGTAAGATAGATATTTCTTTTTTTAACTTTTATTTAATAAATATTAATTTCCAAAATACAGCTTATGGATTACAGTGGCTTTTTTCCCCCATAACTTCCCTCCCACCACAACCCTCCCATCTACTGCTCCCTCTCCCAAGACAATAGTCTTGTTTGACTCTTAATCCTATCATTATGATCAATTGTGAACTGAAACTGATCACTTTGACTAATGAGATGGCATTGGTACATGCCACCTTGATGGGGTTGAATTGGAATCCCCTGGCATGTTTCTAACTCTACCACTGGGGGCAAGTCAGATAAACATGACTATTGTCTGCTAATACCAACTGATAGAATTAAAAAGCAGAGAACGATCCAACATGAAAAGCGGGATACACAGCTGACTCATAGAATGGCAGATGTCCTAAACGGCACTCTGGCCTCAGAATCAGCCCTTAAGGCATTTGGATCTGGCTGAAGAGCCCATGAGAGTATTTTAGGCATGGAAAGCCAAGACACCCTGGCAAAAAACAAAACAAAAAAAACAAAAACAAAAAAACAAAAAAAAAAAAAAACACAAAAAACAAAAAACAAAACCTAAATGAAAGATCTCTGCGAATGAGATCCCAGTAGAAAAAAAACAGACCACCAAAGAAGGAGGTACCTTTCTCTGAAGGGAGGAGAGAACTTCCACTTTGACTATGACCTTGTCTAAATAAGATCGGAGTCGGCGAACTCAATAGGCTTCCATAGCCTTGGCAACTCATGACTAGAGCCTAGGGAGATTACTGACTCCATAAACAAGAGTGTCAAATTGTTAAGACAACAACAGGAGTCACTGTGCACTTACTCCTCATGTAGGATCTCTGTCCTTAATGTGTTGTCCAATGTGAATTAATTATACAACTAGTACTCAAAGAGTACTTTACACTTTGTGTTTCTGTGTGGGTGCAAACTGTTGAAATCTTTACTTAATATATACAGCATTAAAAAAAATGAAATCTGGTCATTTGCAACAAAATGAAGGAATATGGAAAACATTATGCTGAGTGAAATAAGCTGTCCCAAAAGGGACAAATATCATATGTTCTCCCTGATCGGTGACAACTAACAAAGTACCAAAAAGGAAACCTGTTGAAGTGAAATGGATACTATGAGAAACAGTGACTTGATCAGCTCTTGTCCTGACTGTTGATGAACAACTTAATACTTTATCCCTTTTAGTATTTTTTGTTCTACTTAATACTATTGGTTGAACTCTGTAATTAACACACAATTATTCTTAGATGTTTAAATTTAACTGAAAAGTGATCCTTGTTAAGTGGGAATAAGAGAGGGAGGAGATGTACAATCTGCGACAAGATAGGCATTTTCTATACTAAACTGAGTGTTTACTTTTATGAATTTAAGTTTTTGATGCTGCTTTATTTAATTTCTCATTGTGTAGCCTGATTTGTGTCTTTCTTATAGCTGATGGAAAGGTGTACCAGAACAGGTTGATGGGTGGTGTGAAAACCCTTAAAGGTGAGTTGAAATAGGAAAAGGCAGATGAATCTGAAACATATATGTATTGCATTCTCCAATCCTTCCATCATATATGTATGTGTGTGTGTGTTGGTAAAACCAAATTATTTTATTGGATTGGTTTTGTATATATTTTAGCAAGTAATCTCCTGTACCATTCTTTAACCTTAAGATTTAAGTGAAATCTCACATCAAGACATGATTCTTGAATGGCTTTACCCCAGTGAAATGGCAAATTATTTAAAAAAAAAAGTTATTAGCCCAGATGGATTGAAAGGAATTTGTTCTGTATAGGCCTGAATTCTGAGTCCATGGAGGAAGGATCTTTGAAAACTCTCAATTATTAGTATATTTCAACATGAGTTCTAGTTCATATTTATATTTGTTAAATGACCCAGGAACTCAAAAGCTATAAAATAAGCCAAAAGTTAGTACCAAAATTGTAACTCTCCATATTAATCTGGTCAATCAGTAATAATTTCCTTTTAAAACTCTTCTTAAAATTAATTTAAAATAAAAATTACAACAGATGCAAAAAACAAATGATTAGTAAATTTGTGGACCTAATTAAAAATAAAATAACCAACTCATGCTCTGGGACTTCATATGATGCAAATTCAGGAGTCCTTCAAAATGTTCCTGGAAGAGGCTGGTGTTGTGCAGTGGGGTAAGCCACACCCTGCAATGCTCACATCCCATAATGGAGTCCTGACTACTCCACTTCTGCTCCAGCTTCCTGCTAATGCATCTGAGAAGGCAGTGGAAGATGGTCCAAGTGCCTGAGCCCCTGGCACCAATTTGGGACGCCTGGAGGGAGTTCCTTGCTCTCGGCTTCAGCCAGGCTCAGTCCTGGCTGTTGTGGACATTTGAAGAGTGAACAAGTGGATGAAATATATTCATTCATTCATTCATTCATTCTCTCCCTTTCTCCCTCCCTCTCTCTCCTCTTCTCTCCTGACTCTGCCTTTCAAATAAATATTAA